GCGGCGGGGTGGGACGCCCCCGCGGGCACGCTGTGGGGGGGCCTGGGCCGGCCGGACCGGGTGGAGGTTGGTGGGCGCTGGACACCGAGCCCCTGGGCTGTGCGGGCAGAGGCTGCAGGAGCCCCGGGCTGACAGTGAAGCTGGAGGCCGGGGCGGTTGTGCGAGTTGTCGTTAGCCCAAAAACAGCCCCAGCTCGCCCGCCCCAGGCTGCTTCCAAACGTTACTGAGGTTGGCATCGGCCTGGGACTGGGCAGCGGGCTTGCTGGAGTTGGCATTTCCTTAACAGGCCACGGTTGACTCCCTGGTTTCTTCTCCACTTGCTCTGAGTACAGTGGAGAGCGCTTGGCCAGTTCCCCGGCTCGTAGCAGGCCTGTGCCCTGGCACTGTTTGGGTCCCGGCGCCTGCGGGGAAGCAAATGTCCAGCAGAGGCGGGTGTTAGCAGCCAGCGTTCTCCAGGCCTGGCATGTTTTTGTTGTTAGAAAGGTTAGGGTTTGTTTTTTTTTTAATTACCTCCTGGTGTTCATTAAAATTTCACTCACCTTTGCAATTAGGGATCAGCTTTATTTCTTGGAGGCAATGAGGTGAAGAGCCGAGCCGTGGTGAAATACTCTTCTGCCCCACCGCAAGCAGCGTTTGCGCGCCTGGAAGAGAAAACAGACTTGAAACTCCCACCAGCCAACTGGCTCCGAGAGAGTGCCAAGCTCGGGCCCGCAGGAACCACCATTCTCGGTCACAGTAAGAAAAGCAAGCCGTTTTCAAGGTAAATGTTTCTTGCCTGTTGCGTGACGCCCACCGCAAGACTCTAATCCGTGTTTCTGGTTGAATTTGTGATGCTGATTGACTTGCTGAGATTTCTCTTTACAAAAAGATCATATTTGACTTTCAAAGTTGTTTTCCCCTCTAATAGTAGGAATGACTTATAATGTGAAGGTAGCAGTTGAATACGCTTTTTTCAAGTCTGCCTTGTGTTGTTCACAGTGCTGAGTTCTGAGTGCTGAAAGTCTTGATCCACTTTCCTTACCTTGACACATGCAAACAAGAATCAAGTGGCCATGAGGCAACTCGCCTTTCACGAGGCTTGACTGCCTCAGTGGAGTCTCACTGAAGGAGGTGTGGGTCCTGGTATCTGAACACGCCTGCTGTAGAGACTCCTGTGTTGAGTGACCTTGTCCTTAACGCTAGCTAGAAATTCTGCTGGCAGGATTTCAAGTTGAGAGTCATCTGGGGCCTCAAAAGAGAAAAATGTACAAAGTGTTGCTTTCTTGCAGACTGCTTGGGGGGGGGGGTGTCTTTTTTTCCTTCTCAGTGGTTGACCCTGAAGCATTTCCACATAATGTGTGGCAAGAGCCATAAGCACATCAGTGCCTTATGAGATGGTAGTAGAAGTTAAAAGCGAAATTTGTAAAATGTTTGTATGAGCAAAAAGGTGGACGTAGCCCAGAAATCTTTTAGGCAGTTGGCTTAATAAATTGACATGTCAGCACAGTGGAAATATTATAAAGTGGTTTAGGTAATAATTCTGTTCGGTGTGTAGAAACATCACCGTGTTAAGTACCTCCCTTAGCAGGTTTAATTCTCCAACGCCTTTTTGAGTTGGGTGCTCATTTCCTCACATGGAACAAGGGAGCTTAGAATGGTTGGGTAATGTGAGGCCGTGTGGCAGGTCATCAGCATGCGGCAATGCAAGGCGACTAGAACCTGGGTCTCTGCCACTTACTAATAGAAAAATAAGGACATCAGCTGTCATTATTTTCAGGCTTGGAGATTATAGTTCTGCCTCGCTTGGTATCTAGCACAATTTGGTTGCTCAGTTTACTTTTTCCTTTTCTCCTGGATGAATTGGTGTCAGAAACATTATTTCTCTCTTGTTTGGGAGGTGGGGTAGGAAAAGTGGTATTTCACTAGCACACAGTCCCAGAGACTAAAGTCCTGATAAGTGTTTCCATTTCTATTTTTATCTCCCTATTTTAAAAGAATATCTTGAATTGACATTTCTAATATGAGATTTTTTTATTATAAAAATACAAATAATTTTATTTTACATGTTATCTGTTAATTGCTTCTATTGCTTATTACTGTAGAAATTGAATCCAAGATGTTACTGGTTTTTTAAATCACACTGTCTTATGTACCACTGAGAAAGAAAAAAATGCTGACCAGCTGTAAGGGTAAGAGGCATACTGATCTCAGAGATGTTAGAACGTACACAGACCCCAGAAGCCATGCGAGGCTGTATCACACCACTGTGAGCACAGCCTGCTAACCCTGCCCTGTTCCCCCAGCTTTGGTATGGCGTATGACTTCATTGATTCGGTGGGAAATGATGTGGATGTTGTCTCAGACTCTGAAGTAAGTATCCTTATTCTGGAATGTAAGTGGGGTGTTTGTGATGGGGATTTATAGCATGCTGTGTTCTGGAGCTGTGAAAAATGAGTGATAAAAAGATACTGTTTGATTACTGGGTACCTTCTGGTTAACAGCACTCCTTGTCCCATCTCCTTTCACAGAGGGAGGTGCAACCCTAACACTCAGCATGCTGAGGCCGGTGTGGGTGGGTCTGCCCTAATGAGAGCAAGTACAGCTGCTTGTAACTGTGGCTGTTAATTTGCATTGTGTTACCCGTTGAGAATTAGAAATGATATTTCTGGTAAATCCTCCTGGTGATTTGGTCAGTTTCATCTGCCAAGCTGAAAGCCTTGGCCAGCACACCAGTGTGACATACACTTAACCCCAAGAAAATCCTGGCATAAGAAAGAAATACTGACTGTCCTTTTCATTAGCTCCCTGGGACTGTGTAAGAGTAGGTGATTCTGACTTTTCAGCTGTCTTCCTTGCGGTCGTATGTGGCTCTTGGAGAGTTTGTGTGACTCTAGGCAAGTAAGTTCATTCTTTAAAATTGGGAAGACTCCAGAGCACATTGTACAGTCTTTCTGAACTGTTTTTCCCTTTAACTTTTTTAAGAACATAAAAAAACTCCTGAAGATCCCTTACAGCAAATCCCACGTTAGCATGGCAGTACACCGCATCGGAAGGACGCTCTTACTGGACGAGCTAGACATTCAAGAACTCTTCATGAGGTCATCTCAGGTAACACTTGTCATGAAAAACAACCAGAAAAGCACTGTTTTAAACAAAGGAAGGAAATGATTGTGTTTTAAAGAAAGTCCAAAGGGGAAGTGTAGTTGAGTACTTCAGCCATGAAATGAGAAATGTCATGCAAGATAAAGAAATTTTAATACGGGGGAAAAAATGGGAAGAAGCCATGATTCTTGCAAAGAAAGGGGTAAGACCAGTGAAGAAATGGTGAAAAACCTCAAATTAATTGGTACCTCTGTTAAAGAAATTCCCGTGAAACATGGCCAGCAAGAATATGAAAAGTATGAACTGCTATTCCAGTGAACATGATTAGAGTTCGCTTTCTTAAAGCAGAACTTCTCACACTGCTGCTGGTACTTAGCTGTGTCCCCAGTTCGTGGGGGCCGGAGGCTTCCGTCCGATACAGTAACAGCCTGGCTGTGTCTCTAGGCCTGCTTATTCCCCTTTTCTACTCATGCCTTGTCTGGGACAGAACATTCAGTCCTGTCAGCCCTGTGGGCTGCTCTTCAAGGAATATTCCTGTGGTGCTTGGATGAAGGAAAATAGCTTGCCGTGACGTACTAATTAAAAAGACCTCGATTCAGGTCAGTTTGTGTGTGTGTACTGGTCACCAGGTGAGGTCTTGGTACATGACCATGGATAAAGCACAGTCTTCAGTTACACACACGAGAGCAGACCATTGCAGTCCAGTGCGCACGGCGGGGCTTACGCCACAGCTCATCTCTCCTCGCCTGGCGTGGGGAGAGGAGGGCGGGGCTTTCCTGAAGAGGTGGTAGGAATGGATTTCAGGAAAACAAGTGTCTCATGAAGCAGCATACAAAAAAGAGTATTTTCTGTAGAAGAATACTAGGTAGCAAGCGTTTGATGTCTGTTGTATTAACTTTGATTATTCAGACTGGTGATTGGACATGGCTGAAAGAATTTTATCAACGACTTATTGATCAGAAGTGGCAGAGGAAGAAAAAGAGCAAAGAGCACTGGTATCAGAAGGCGATTCTCTCCAAGTTTTTGTATTACAGGTACCTGGCTTGTTTATCTGAAGCAAAAATGAAATTCTGGCCTCAAATTTGGCGCATGTTCTGCCACTCTGATGATGTTGACTATCGTCCTAATTGCCTTTTTTTTTTAAATAAGATTTGTGCTTGACTGAAGGATCAGTCTGTGGGAGCGGTAGGCAGGTAAGCACGGTCTCTTGTAGTAACTGATGTCTCACTCCCCACCTGGCCAGCATCAATGGTGACGGAGCTGCGCAGCCCGTCCCCTCCACTGCCGACCAGCAGGAACCGTCCAGTTCTGATCAGACGAGTGACTCCGAAGGCGCTTCATGGCCGGCCCCCTTTGAAATGCCAGCTTCCGTGTCCGAGGACCCCAGCGCTTCCAGTCAGGTCAGTCGGTGCTTGGGTTCCGACTCCAGACGCCGCCTGAGAAGGCAGAGCCAGGGCTGTTCGTTGACAGCATCGATTGTCTTGTTCTCTCTTTAACAGCAAGAGCTGAACAGGTGTGAACAATCCTCTGAATTTGACTTGCAATTGAAAAGTACACTTCTTCATGTTTCAGAGTTGTCAGTGGCTGACTCAGTCAGTTTTTTAAAAGTAATTCAGCATTTGTATGGGTTTTTACCAGCACATGAAGTAGCTTACCAGTAGCTTACGGTGCTGCTGCTCCTCGTGAGCCGTGCGCACTGTGAATGCTGCAGGATAGGGTGGAGAGGCTTTGGCTGTGAGGGAGGCGGGAGTGTCCCTGCTCCCGTGCCGGTTGGTAACTTAAATCTGAGCTCCGTCCCTAACCGTTAGTGTTAACCCTAAAGTCTCTCTTGCGATTTGCTGGATGAAGTTTCAAGGCTCAGTCCTCATTGATGTTATAAAACTTTTAGACAGGAAGAGAGTAGAATGTGTCGCCCGTTTTCTCTTACTATGTTCTTGGTCTCTCATTGTTTGTTTGTTTTTTGTCCTTATTATGTCTGTAAAAGAGTAGAGTAGTCCCATCAATTGCATGTCTGTTTTGAGGGTAACATGTCGATAAACTTGAAGATAAAAGTAAGAGCTTTAACTGCTCAGCTGTGCTTTTCATCTTGCTGTGTCCTCCCAGACCGAACATCACGCAGCCAGATGGTGTCTGCACAGATCACAGGCCCCTCGGAGGCAGGGATGGTTAGCTCCAGCAGATTTTGAGACCCAGAAAGCTCATTAAGTTATGTCATGAATTTAAGTTTTTTCTGAAGTCAGATTTTTTTCAAACTTGGGAAAACTGTCAGGACACAGGGGTAATCCTCGCCCTGCAGGTCCCTGAGTGGTGAGCCGGGGCTGGGGGTGACCAGAAGCACGTCTGGCCGCGCCCCGAGTGGTGACTGGCCAGTTACGTGGGGGATTTACTTTGCGGGTGGTGCTCCTGCTGTGGGCCTGGCCATCCTGAGTGTGGCTAGAGGAATCTGACAGTTTGCGTAGCATTCCTTAACTTGCATCACTCAACGCAGAAAGGCCACGTTGTAGGAACCATCCTCTCCCACCACCCACCTTTGCCACTCACCACTCTGTGCACACCTTGCTCACGGGGTGCTGTGAAAGTCTGACGGTGCTGACTTGCTGGAGGAAGTGGGCTGGCGCCATGTCACGTCACTCAGCCTGCACCTGATGGCGCCGGACGCCGGTCTTCCTGCTCACACAGTGCCCGGCATGCGCGGGGCCCCCGTCTCTAGTGGCCTGTTCCCAGGAAGAACTAGCTGCCATACAAATGCTCTAAAGTTTTCTTTATTGAAGTGGACTAACTTGCCCGGCCTACGTGTTCAGGTGGGCGGCACAGTGCTTCTGTGCCCGAGTGGGCTGCGCTGTGACGGCCACTCAGACCTGCTGCCCTCACTGTCCCCTGCCCCCTCCCTAACCCTCTGCTGGGCCCTTAGCTTTTGGTCACCATCACCTTGTTCTTTAAAGTGGAGGCATTTGTTTTTGTTTGTTCGCTTATCTTGCCCACTAGTGAAGTCATAGATGTTTGTCTCTGTCCACTTGTTTATGTCACTTAGCCTAATGCCCGTGAGGTCCATCTATGTTGTTGCAAATGGTGAGAAAAGTTAGTCTCTTGCAGAATGTTTTTTTAAACAGGCCATGCTGCACAGATGTCCACCATGAGATATTTATTTTGGTTTATAATTTACCACCTCATGGACTCTCTATTTCCAAAACTAGTGTGAGCCTTAAACAGTAATGGTGCTTAATTAGGTGTCTGTGCTGTGGCCTTGGAACCCAGCCTCTGCTGAGATAATAACCCAGGCCCCAAGTTCCCCCTAAGCAGCTACCTGACAGATGCAGTTTGGGATCCATAGGTTGATGACTTGTCTGGTCAGCAACGAGTAAGTTAAGCGGGAAGTGGTTTGAGGACACCTTGGGGAGACACGAAGGCGCAACACAGCCGTGGTCCTCTTCCTCATTCTCACTGTGCCCCACCCTGATTCCACTTGTCTGTTTCACAAGTGGGTGCTGAGCTGCCTAGCATGTGCTTGTGAGGAGAAGAACCGTCTTGGGCTCTGCGCAGCACTGAGTCATGTTTCTTGGTGACAGTGGTCCTCAGGCTTGGAAACCAGTGGAGGGCTGAGTTTACCTGTCATATGTTTGTCAAGATACATTCTGTGGGACGTAGTAAGAATCGAAAACATCCTGAGAAGAAAGCAGTTGAGAATGCTGGGTTATACCCAGGTGAAAGAGGCTTTTCCTACTCCAGAATCTCTTAAAGGCCTTTGTTTATGGTAATCATTATTGCTGTTCTCCAAAAACGGACCCACAGAAGCAGCGTTTGACATACCTGGCCCTGGAGAACTTATTCCATGTTATATGCCCTAAGGGGAGCCTGTTCCCAGCAGCCTGCTGAATGTCCTAAGTTCCTTGGCGATTAGAGGCAGGATGAACATGGTGGATTTGCATTCACCCAAACAGAAAAACAACTTTAAAAGCTTGAAATGATTTTTAGTCTTACACAATTGAGTAGGTTCTAAACGTGGTTAGCTCATTCTAGTAGCTGTGGTAATAGCTGAAGTAAGCACATAGTGATGAGTTCATTATTATGATTCACAAAAATAATGAGTTGTGTGCTTGAATGTCTAGATGATCTCTTTAAAAATAGATCATTTAAAAGAAATACAGCAGCAGAATCACTCCTTCTCCTTGCGCTTTTCACAGGGAAGTGAGCCTCTTGAACCCTCATACATAGTGGGGCATGTGGCCTCAGCACCCAAAGAACAAAACCTGACTACTTTATTCAATGACGGGGAGAACAGTCAGGTATGCTTTCCACAGCGCCCCCGTTGAGACCTTAGCCCCCAGTCTGCATCATTTAGAAATGAGTCTGAATTGGAATTTGCAGGGGGAACATCCACTTGATCTGAAAATTGCCCTCTGAACATCTGATCGTGTAGCTCTGTGACTGTAATTTACTTTATCTCCTTTGTCTTCTCTTCTTGCTAGTCTTTCTGTGGATGATGGTGGGGAATTATGGATTTTCTGCTTACTATATAGTGATAGTTCCTGTTTTATTTTAAATCAAAGGGGCTTAAAAATGACTTTGTTCGGAACATCTTATGGACGTTTGAAGACATACATATGCTAGTTGGTTCCAACATGCCTATATTTGGAGGAGGCAGATACCCGGCTGTCAGCCTGCGTCTGCGGTAAGACAGAGCTTGCTCCCTGTAGGCGGCGCCCTTCTCGCTTTTCTCTTGGCAGTGTCACCTTTTCCTGGGATTTCTCAGCTCCCTTTTCTGCTGATTGTAGTGGCCCCAGTTAGGAAGGGCCCTCTTGCCAGCACGAGCTGATAGCGCTCCTGGCCAAAGCTGGATGGAGTCTGGTCTGCTCAGCCGGCTTAGTCTTATGTCTGAAGCTATGAAGTGTGAGACTGTGGTGGAACTTGTTTAGTTAGTGAAGGCAGTGGTTTTTACCAGCTTTCTGTTACCTGGTTGGTAAGCATTTTCTGCACACTCCAGGCATACTTATGTGCCATTTGGGTGTTAACCTGAATGGTAGTCAGATGAAAATCTGATCCTCAGAACAGGTGCGTGCAGTAGGCTTCCGGTCTCCTGCTATACCCCTTAGCCAGTTGGAGACCCCACGTGGAGAGATGTGACAGACCATCACAGGGCGCATGTGCCTCACCAGGAGGGAAAACTGTGGCTCTCGCTGGGAGGACTAGATCAGAATATTTAAATGGGAGGAAAGTCTGAGTGATTTATTATGGGAGAAATGCCTGCATGATTTATTTTGGAACATCTTAATTAACCAAAACAACACTGAAAATTTTTTAGGGACAACAACAAACCAATCAATGTGCTCACTGGAATTGACTATTGGTTGGACAACTTGATATGCAATGTGCCAGAGCTTGTGATGTGTTTTCACGTAAATGGAATTGTACAGGTAAGATGCAGTGTGACTCCTGGTAACTCTTGAGCTCAGACTGGTTGGTATAGAGGACCTTACGTGGGGGTTTCACAAATGTACTAAAACCTACATATCCAGACATGTAATTTTAGTAGTTACTTTGCAGACGTATACAGCAGAAGTGATTAGTCAGTGCACAGACACTTGCTGGGGTTACGCAGCGCCTTAGGGAGGAGGCAGTGGTTGGGGGATAGGATAGCCTCCATCGCGAGTTACTGCTGAGCTTTGTTCTGAGCACTGAGGCACTTTGCCGGCCTTATAACTGTTGGGAGGGAATGAAGACTAAACTTTGGCTACTACTCAGAAAGCTGTACAGTGGGAGAGACCAGGCGCAGTGAGACAAGTAGGAGCGAGGAGGTCCTGGGAGTGTCGTGCTCACACATGGAGCGTGACATCTGAGAAGGGGCCATCTCATCTGTTTTGACTAGAAGTGCTGTGTTGTTTTTAACATTTATTCTTATTTATTCATACAAGAACTGGGGTATAGGCCAGAGATGCAGGGGTGAGAGTGGGGAGCAGAACAGGTTGATCTACTGAAACACTGCTGAGGGGAGCAGCGGGGAGACAGGAGAGGTCTGCTGCATCATATGTGGGTCACAGCCTGGGATTGAACTCAGCAACAGCGATGAGCGATAGCTTGAGAGTGCCGAGACTTAACTCCTATGTCATAGGGAGGCCAGAAGTGCCACGTTTCAGGTAGATCTTGAATGATAGAGCACACCTCAAAAACAAGATGGATTTTAATAGGTTAGTGTAAGTAAGTGAAGAGATTGAGAACAAATCCAGTTAGGCCACATGGGATTCACGTAGCAGCACACAGGACAGTCACAGTTGAGAGATGGAGAGTCTTGGATATGGAACTGGTTGAGTTTTGGTAGTCTGAAATCAGTGAAACCTTTCGACCTGGGAGATGAGACTTGTTACAGTGGCTATTTACTTGGCATGACACATTGGACAAATAAGAGGTTGGCGATAAGGAGGTTGGATGGGCACCGTCCTGCTTTCTGCAAGTGCCAAGTACTCAGTTACAGGGCCTGAGGGGAATGGATGAGAACAGTGGGTAGCATTGTCATTTATTGGGGGTCTTACTTGGTTCCAGACACTTTGCTGAGTGGCTTTTATGCATTACCATATCTGGTCTTAGCTTTTCCTGTGCTGTCACTTCTGCTAGAGAGAAAGGATCAGGGGGCTCGGAAGTCAGCCGCGCCCCAGTATTAGTGAGTGGAGGGGCAGCCGTCGAGCTGGCTGCCGCCGGCCAGCATGCTCCAGACCAGTGCTGTCTGACATGGCAGGTGCATCAGAAGTGAATCACTAGTGGTCTCTTACAAAAGACATTTCTTGGGCTCTCGTATTTCTTTATGGGGGTAGGTCTCTAAAAAAAAATAAAGCTTTGTAAATGATTCTGAACTGCACTTGTGATTGAGAACCACTGTTCATGTTTTTTATCCTAAATAGCACATTTGCTGAGAAGGGGAGGGAGAAGCCTCAGAAGGTAGTCAGGGCCCAGGGACCAGAATAATGCTGCCGCTATCATGGCCCCAGATGGGAGCGGTGCCTCGATTCAGGCAGGGAGGTGCTATATATGTTCATGTTTTCAGTGTGAGGAAACATAAAAATGTCCAGTGAGCATTTTGAAGTTGTAGTCGTTAGAGAAAACAGAGCCAGAGAAGTAAATGGAGGCGCCATCTGCCAGCTTCTATTCCAGTTTGTCCCCAAGGGAATCGATCAGAGAGGCGGACGTTGGAGCCTTTCCCCGGGTGGCTGCAGAGGGAGGGAGAGGCGCGCAGTGCAGCCCACGGTCGGGGAAGGAGCGTTCCAGAAAGGAGGTGGTGACTTGATGAACCCGAGTAGATGAAAATTAACCTTTGACTGTGTTTGGTCTTACCTTCCAATTGCTTTGGAGTTTCTAGCCTTCAAGTGCTTCAGAAAATGTGCAAAGAGGAAGTTAGGCAGTGTGAGCAAAACAGAAGCCAGAAAAAATATGGATAATGGTGGTATCCACACAGCCTTTACGGTCAGCCCCTCCATTTCTGTACGGGAGTCAAGGCCATAGCTCCAGAGAAGTACAGTGGTGGGGGGACGCTAGAACTGGAATAGATACTTCAAAAAAGCTTACTGGGGGAAGTCTGTCTTCACCCGCCACTCTTCTGGTTAGAAACCGTCAGACGGACACAGGAGTGCGTGCCCGGAGCTGAGCTCCAGAGCGGCCATACTGCCACGCCTCAGAACAGCCCGGTGGCGCGCCAAGGCCCCTGGGGTGGGGGCCTGGCACCTCTGAGAGTTGGGGTGGTGAGGGGTCAGAACCCAAGAGCCCCAGCTCTTGTGCTGCTTTGGCTCCGACCGCAGGGCTGGTGCGGGAGATGGCTCTTGAGTAAGTGCTGTACTGTAGCCCAGATCTCCTCAAGCCGCCTGCTGTCGATGTTTTACAGAAGTATGAGATGATAAAGACAGAAGAGATTCCCAACTTGGAAAATTCTAATTTTTCTACTAAAGTCATAAAAGACATTGCACAGAACATTTTATCATTTCTGAAATCCAATTGCACCAAAGAAGGACACACCTACTGGCTCTTTAAAGGTAGGCCGGCGGTGGGGTGGGCCCCGAGTGTGCGAGTAGCCAGCGTACGATGAGGGTCTCCCATTCTCTGCAGCAAGTGGCAGCGACATTGTGAAGCTCTATGACCTCACCACTCTGTGCGAGGAGACCGAAGACAAGTACCAGAACCCCTTCACCATGCCGGTGGCCATCCTCCTCTACAAGTGAGTGCCCAGCACATGGTGCACGTGGGGGTACGCTCAGCCACTGTTGCACCAAGGCTGCCAATCGCCGTGCATTTTGGTTTGGATTTTTATGAAGAAATGGTGTGAGAGAGCGAGTGTGCGAGTATTCACTAAAGGGGGGCGGGGGGGAGGTTACAGTACCGAGTTTATTTCTCGGCGCCTTTCTGAGGCAGAAAGGCAGGGCATGCCTAGACTGTCTTGCAGAGGACAGCTGGAGAGTGAAGTTGATGTAAACGTTTTTTCAGGGTTGCCTGCAACATGATGATGAAGAAGAACCAAAACAAGAAACACTATGGGACTATTAGAACATTGCTGCTCAATTGTGTTAAACTGTTGGACAAAAGCAGACATCCTCAAGTAAGGCTCTCACCTGTGTGGCTTCTGAGAAGTCTGGTGTTCTGGCAGGGAGCTGTGGTGGGAATGCCCGCGTGGGCGCCAGCCAGGCCCTGTGTCGGAAAGCAAACCCGTGCCTCTCGGGGATGACGGTGAAGGCAGGATGTTGGGCACTTGTCTATGGACTAAATATTAAACTATTTCAAATAAGTAAAATTCATCAGAAGTTACTTTTTCAATGTACTGCTAGAAAATTTCCTATGTGGCTCAGTGGGCGTCTGGGGCTAGTCTATATACCGAGCCCTTTTAATGTAACAGCAGTGCTGGTTTTTTCCATTATCATTATTAGAATGTGGAAAACTATCTTGTGGCACCTTTTAAAATCACCATTTATAGGAGTGGACCTTGTTAAATACCTGTAAGGTTCACCTTCTGAGCTGCTCTTAAAATAATCTTACCATGTACCCCACAGCTTTCCAGCTCCCCCTGCCTCTCAGTTTTCTGAACTTGACAGTTGTATTTTTCTAATGCTAGTTGTAGCCTATTTGTCAGAAAAGGTAGGCTATTCAATTTTTTTTTAAAGATACAAGTTAAGTGTAGCCACATCCAGTTGGATAGATTCTCCTGGAGACCAAACTCAGAGAATTCTTTTGAAGAAAAGTGGCAGAGCACATTTTGACTTGAATATCTAATTGCTGTGTTGGTATTCCAGTGAGATGTGGTGTTCAGTGGGAATTGAGAGACTTCTGTATGTGAAAGTTGGTATCTGTGATTAAGAGTGATGGACAAGTACTAATTCAAAGAGATAGGGGCGGGCCTTTCCCTTTTTCAGCTTTGTGGGGGTTCTTCTGTAGAACTGTAGGTAAGAAAGTAAATATTAATTGACCATTAGAGATAAATACTTAGGAATTCATAGCTTGTGTGGAGCAGGTATCTGGTTTCTCAGCTTAGTTATGATACTTTACATGCCAATTTTTTGTCTCTGGTGAAATAAAGTTGCCATCTTTTAGGGAGTGAGAGCTGGGTTTGGAATAATTTCAGAAACGTAACTCTTGAGGGTCTTACACAGCGTGTTCAGGGTATTGGCAAGTTGGACTAGAACATTCTCCGGTTATTGTTTGTGAGGGAAATGGCCTGTGTTCAGAACTACAAAAACTCATTAGTAAAATTCACACCTATTGTGTTCAATTTGGTAACAGTCATTTATACATGTTTCCTCTTTTCTTTTTATAAGATTATTGCTTCAGCCAATTACATGCTTTCAGAACTTTTTCAGTTGGATGAACCTAAAAAAGAAGAAAGTTCAGAATCTCCTTTAAATGAGAATTCTGATGAAAGTTATAGCGAAGAGGAAGAGGAGATGCCAGACAGTGATGAGAATGGCCCCGACAGCACGAGTTCTGACCCATCAGATGATAACAAAGCAGTAGCTGTGATTAAGTCTGTTGGCGAATTGTCAGTTCCAGAAAAGTACAAATCCATTCATCAAATCAGAGTGAGTATACTGAAATTTTATCTGTGCGAAAGCAAACAGTTATTAGTTGAACATAGCCGCTCAAAAAATGGCTTCATTTCCGTAATTCTTCGTGGTCCAGGGTCTAATGATAATTAGTCCTGTGACGTCTTGGACTTAGTTATTGCTTCAGGGGCAGTGACCCACATGCCCGCCTGAGGTGGGGTGTGGAAAGCCCACGTCAGAGCCGTTTCCGCGTGCAGGTTTCCTCTCCAGTAGCAGTGTGGCAGGTCTTCCTCATCCCTGGCTGCTGGAAACGGTGCTGAGGGGCCTGGTGAACAGGCAGGAGAGGAGGGTCAGTGTCTGTCACTGGTGGGTAAGTGGCCCCTTCTCCACGTGCTCGGTGACTGATGGCACCCAGCCATGCCCAAGCCCGGCCAGAGACCCCAGCACCTCCCTGCCCTTTGTGCTTCCACAGCTAGATGGCCTCGACCAGGCCTCCACCATCATACTTGTCCAGACAGTGAAATTAGGTTTCAGTTTTCTGTGATTAGATCCAGGTCAGCCAAAAATGAGTTCTGGCTGAACTAAAACGAAAGCATATTTATATGATGATTTTTAATTGAAGCTGAGTTAACTTTCAGATGGGAACTTTGAAATCTAAGTAGGTTTTCGAGACCTTTCTGTTATCCCACCGCCTCTGGTCTCTCCTTTCCCCTCTGGCTTACCCCCATCGTCTGCCCGTTTCTCGTCTCAGACTTGAACTCAACCGAGTACCTTCTCAGTCTTCTCCTGACAGCTTCTTTCTGAGCTGTAAGTCTTGGCCAAAACGCCACCTCCTCCAGGAGACGCGACCACCCTAGCCAGCACCTGCCCTCAGCTCCTTTGTGGAGGGACCTGTGCCTGGGCGCCGTCTATCTGCCTCCTTTCCCTGGAGCACGGGTGCATAAGGGTGGCCGCTCTTGTAATTCCCGTATCCAGAACAGACAGTGGGTGCTCAGCCGGTGTTTGACTGTGTCAACTGCAGGAAAAGTTAGTAACTGTCCATGTAAAGTTTAGTAAATACTTTCAGCTTAAAGTTCTCACAGTATATGAGTAAACGTTTTTCTGATTATAGACAGAGTTCTTCATTGCAAAAGCTGCACATACTGTGATGTAGGGCCCTGGACTCATGGTAATGGCATGTGAAGCCAGTGTGGGTGTACAGTTGCCGCAGACTTGAGCACTTTTTGGCACCTTGAAGCACCAAACCAAATGGAGTGTAGTGTTCATAGAAGCACATCACAGTCAGCACCGCTTTGTCGATGCTGATTTTAAAGAACAGTCGCCCTGTCTCTAGAACCTGTGACCGCTGGGCCTCTTGGGCACATTATTCAGCCTCTGTGCTTGCTTCTCTTCTGTGAGAGGAGGACAGTAATTTCAGCCTTGCAGCTCTCACCAAGACAAAAGGCCCTGCAGAGGCCCTTACACTTAAAGCCGCTGGCGAGAGGGAGATGGGTAACTGGGTTTGCTCCCAGTTACGTGTAAGTTACACAGTGAGGCCATTGGTGATCCTTACTGACTCCGTGATCCTTACTGACTCGCTGTTAAATCTGTGCTCCTGCTAACTGTTACCAAGTATCAGTCTCATTAGAAATTGAGCTGACCTGTTAAGAGAAAGCTTTTATTCATCTAAACGTTACCATGTAGATTCTCACTTCTTTGTAATAGAATTATTTCTGCATTTTCGAGCACTGACAACAACTTGAAGGCTGGAAAATTTTTGTTAAGTTTTTGTTAGTGATGCTCATATCAATTTAAACTGCGGTTAACACAGTAAATAACTCCTACCAGATAACCTCACTGAGCTGAGCCCCAGGCCAGTTTCGAAAGTGTTCATTTGCAGACTTTAGTGATTCCAGGCGAGAAACCGCGGGGTGCGGCACTGGTGGCGTGGTGATGATTCTGTCTGTCTCTGCAGCCGAGCTGCGCCTTTCCCGCGTGCCACGACACGGAGGAGCGCTGCAGGCTGGTGCTGAGCTACGTGCTGGAGGCAAGTGCAGATCTGCTGGGGGGGGGGGGGGGGGGTGGCTGTGCTGGGGTCAGGCTGCTGGGGCTGGCACCGGAGTGCTCCCTGCGAGAGGACGTCTGCTGTGATTGGTTTTTCCCTCTAAGCATGAATTGAAAGTCAAATTAATTTTCTGCAGCTCTTCAGGTTAAGTGTGGCTTTTAGTCTGTTTTCAAAATACAAATTCTCCGACACGCATATAGTTGTCCAGATGTTGCTTGATGTTTAAATGTTTTCATCTGACTTTCACTACATGTATCCGAAAAAAATTTTTTTTTTAATAAAGGGCTTAAAGTCTGTGGACAGCAGCATTGAAAAAGCAAGCGGCCTTCCCGCGGCTGACCCCAGCACTCCCATCCCCTTAAAATATGAAGACGAATCCGCAGGGGGGGGTCCTGAGGGTCTGGAGAAGCAGATGGCCTTGTTTTTGGACAAAAGTAAGTTGAATTGATGTGCAAATAAGGCTTTTTCAGTAGCACACTATACTAGTTCCTTACCAGTGGCAGATCTACCTCATGTCAAAGCATTCATTGAAAGGAGCCAGGAAAGGGCACCACGTGACTGGACAGTGGGGGACAGTAGCCTTTCATTTGAAGTATAATACAAAGCAGGGCAATTTTGGCCCTTCTTAGCTACTTCTGATAAGAATATAAGGAGCCGCTGCTTGTCCTTCCCGCTGGGAGGGACGGCTGTCCTCAGCCTGGCAGGGTTGGCCTAACACTTCCGCCTCAGTAAAGCAGTTGCATGTTTGGGAGCACAGACTCGAGCCGAGTGCCCCGCTTCAGGCCTTGGCGTGCCGGGCTAGTTGTTGCACGCCTGCTGGCCTTGCCTTCTTTCCAGATGGAGGCGGCGGTGCTGCCAGCCGGAGAAGCAGTTACAGGGTCGCGTGGCAGTGGACCAGGTAGAGGGGTGGGCGGGTGATCGTTGAGCGTCCACAACTGGTCGTGTCCCGCTGGCGCTTGGCCAGCTAGAATTGCCGCTTACAGATGGTCTGACGTGCTGCCAGGGACTGCCCTTCTTGAAGAGCACGTGGACTTTGAAGTAGAAGTGTTGATGAGTTTCTCGTTGGTTTTGTTCTCAGCTGTATTCTTTTTCTAACTTGAATTCCCCCTCATTTTTATTTAGTTGTTTTAAAGGTGTTTGGAAAGCCTGTGGTTTGTAGTAATACTAGACTTCTCTCCTTTATTAACATGGGGGGAGGAAGGGGTACTTTTCCAGGAAGCCTGTTTGCGGCGCCTGCTGGGTGCCTGGGTGGAGGTGGAGCAGTGAGGACGACGCACGGGCCGCCGGGCACCTCTGCCTTCGCCCAGGTGTTCTCTGAAGTGCCTTTCCTGTCTCGCCCGTCCCCGCCCACTGGAAATCCTGCTCAGGTGCCCACGTTCCCTGCTCACCTGTGTCCTCACTCAGGACCCCCGGCGCCCTCACTGTACATTCTGTGAGCGTGTCCTGAAGCTGCTGTGGTGTTCTAGTATTAATGGGGTTAGTGCACACTCATTTGTGAGCAGAGACTTCGCACAGTGCCTCACACAGAAAGTGTGTAGCAGAGGAGAAAGACACTGGCGCAGATTAGACCATGAGAGAGACCAGTACTTTCCATTGCTTTGCAAGACTCGCCCTGTTTCTGATAAAATGAGAGAAACTGAAGTGGGACGGTGATGTTCCCACAGATTGGGTTCTTACTGACATAATTGCCTAGTGTCTCTGTGGGAGCTGGTGTCACCATCCTCCTGGCCAGTGAGGTCTCTAAGGGAGGGCACCAGGTGACTCCTGTCCCTGTTTCTGGTGCCTAACTCTCTGTTCTTTTGTTGGATAAAGTAGATGGCAGTGGTCTCGGCTTAGCGTAGAGCATAGAACGCTAGACTCTTCCGACCGAATGTTCGGACATCGTATTCCTGCTGGAGAGATCAAGACGAGAGACAGAAGGGGGTGTCCATGCGGGCAAGAGCAGCGGCTCGCCTTGCTGGGGCAGCGTGGGAGTAGCGGGAAGGTGCCGAAGGCTCGTGCCGAGGAGGCGGTGCTGTGCACACCCGTCGGCGAGATGCCGCACAGGCCTCACTGGGCCGGAAGGCGGGCGGGTGGTGGGCCGAAGCTGCCCCGGGAGCAGCAGGCTAGGTCGGTCGTGAGTATTCAGTACGGCGGTGACCCGGACGTGGTGGCAGAGTGCACGGCTGCAGGGGAGGGAAGCCTTGCGTGTGTCAGTCAGTAAGTTATTTTTTTACAGTGAGACTTAGCATTCAGATAAAACGTGCTGCCTTTTCCTGGTGTCCTAGTGGGCTCCCTTCAGAAGGGTCATTACTCCAGCCAGTCGGGAATGATCCCTGGTTCTTGGCAACATAAAATGAAGCTCCAGCTGATTCTCAAGTCGTCGAAGGCCTATTACGTTCTGTCGGACGCCGCCATGAGTCTGCAGAAGTATGGGCGAGCGCTGCGCTACATCAAGCTGGCTTTGCAGAGCCACGGTGAGTCCTGGGAGGGCGACCGGAGCGCCGAGTCACACGGAAAGTTTACTCCTGTTTCTCTCGTGAGTTTAATTGCAAAACAACTCTTCAAGTCTTACATGCCCTGTCTGGTATCTTATTTTCTGCTCTGAAAGTTTTAATTTAATTTCGCTTTGAGCTACATGAAGCCATGTGTGTATCTGGCAAGATAAACTCAGCGTAGACACAGCGCTGCAAAGCTCTCCGCGAAGTACTCTGTGTCCACGAGCGGTCAGCGTGCCTGAGTGTCTTCTCCCCACCGCGTCCCGCAGACACGTACTGCTGCCTCTGCACTAACATGCTGTCTGAAGTGCTGCTGTTCCTGTCTCAGTACCTGACACTCTGCGGGGACATCCAGCTGATGCTGGCCCAGAACGCCAGCAACCGCGCCGCCCACCTGGAGGAGTTCAATTACCAGACCAAGGAGGACCAGGAGATCCTGCACAGCCTGCACCGGGAGTCCAGCTGCCAGGGTGAGTGGCCAGGCGCACGGCGCGTCCAGCTTGTGCGCCGGCTGCATCAGGGAAAGCGCCAGTGCTTGATGTTGCTGTCTCATGTCACTCGTTTCTTGAATTAAAAGTGAGTGTGATCTTGTGTGTTTGTATAAAGTGGCTTGGAAAGGACTCACCGCGCAGCTAGAGCTGAAGTACGGCCTGAGAGCAGTGACTGACTTCATGCAAGTGTCGTCCGTGCGGTTTCTCAACAACCCTTAGTCTGCTGGCAGGCGATAGCTTAGTCTGGGAATGGAGTGAGGCTGTGCCCGTGGACGAGGTCATTGTCCTCAACCCAGTTCGCAGCTGGCTGTCTTAATAGAGCTCTTGTCTGGGCATTGTTTGGCCCCAAAACCGGGAAGGAGAAAGAGAATCAAATCCGGGCAACAGGGCCCTGCCCCCCACTCAGTGCAGTGACAGCAGCCCCCCCAGATGAAGGCAGGAAAGGCGGCGCAAGATCGTCTTTCCTGCCACGTTTGTGCTCTCAGGTTTGTTTCTATCACTGGCTGTCCCCTTCCCCAGAAGTGCATAGGGAAATGTATTTTCTAGTTTTTGCCTTTTTTCTACCCTTCTCTTTACAAATAATCATTTTAATAGACACAGTGGTGAAAACTCAGCGTCTCCACAGCACTCACGTTATCTTCATTTAAAGCTTCCTTTGTGAGGTGGATACTCTAGTTAGGGGTGGGCCAAGAGTCCACGCCCTGGCGCCCCCTGCGCGCCCCAGTCTAAGGCTTTGTGCTCCATTTCCCACTAGTCTCAGGCGTGACCAACTGCCGCTCCTTCAGCGAACTAATGCCCTGAGCTCAGCAGGCCGCCGTACACCACCAGCCTCTGGAAGCACGGAGGACTTCCTCTCTGGAGCTAGTTCTGTCGTCAGAAGGGCAGAGCTAGACCAGTTCCAGGCAACAGTGGGACGCTGTGGTCTGTCCGGTAGCTTGTGGCCTGGTCACTGAACCCTGGGGCTCGGTTGGGGTTCAGAGGCAAGAGGAGACACTTGAGTCAAGCATTCGTACACTGAGAGAATGCTGAGAGTCCCAGAAATACGTACTTTGAACTTAAGTTCTATCTGTGAAACCCCAAATTACTCAGACACGAGGGGCGTGTGGTACCTGCTGACGTTTCCCTTTCTCTCTCAAGGCTTTGCCTGGGCAACTGACTTGTCCACGGACCTAGAAAGCCAGCTTTCAGTTAGCTGCAAATGCTACGAGGCTGCGAACGAAATCTTGCAGTTCAGTGACTTAAAAAGCCAGAATCCAGAGCACTACATCCAAGTGTTGAAGAGGATGGGAAACATTAGAAATGAAATCGGTGTGTTTTACATGAACCAGGCCGCTGCACTACAGAGTGAGAGAGTCGGTGAGTTTCTTTGTGACCCTGTCTTTGTTGCCGAAAGACAACAAAGTGTTAGAACACTCCCCTTTTATTTCGTGTTCAAGCGTAGAACTTTGGGGAGTGATTGCCATAAAGGGGTGCAGCGCTAGACATTGGTAAATGCTCCTTAGTAAACTAGATGGAACACGTCTTCCCTTGGAGTTCAGTACTTGTGTCCCCGTCCCGATCAGTTCGGCGGTAATTGCACAGCCAGCGTGTGCTGGTTCTGTGACAGACATGGCCCTCCAGCAGGAAGCCAGATACGAGCACTGATGTCTGGGGCAGTGTAACAGGACTGGAGAGGAGAGGCTTAGTGAAGTTGGGGGTTTCTTGAGATACTTTTGGGAAGAAAGCATATTTACTTATGCACACAAGAATTGGGGTACAGGCCAGAGGTGTGGCAGGTAAGAGGACTTTCTAGAGACAGAGGGGAGCAGAACAGGCGGATCCACTAACATCTACAGCTGAGGGGAGCAGCAGGGAGGTAGGAGGGGTCTGCTGCTCCCTGGCTGGGGATTGCACTCATGTTGCAGTCGCCAGCAATAGCTTGATAGTGCTGGGGCTTTAACCTCTGTGCCACCAGCAAGGTGCAGAAAGCCGATTTTGGCCACCTTGACTGGCCTGCAGGATGTCCAGGACGACAGGCAGTTGGGGAACGGGAACAGGGGTTGCCTGACTGAGTAGAGCCAGAGGTTTTGGGCCACTGGGTGTTCAGAGAGCAGTGAGTGATCTTGTGTGGTTCAGGCAGGGACCGTTGGTTCAACTGGGCTCATGCTCAGACGCACCCGAGGGCATGGGGGTGAAGAGGAGGTGTGTGTTTAGGGCTGTTGGGACCAGCAAGCCGCCAGTGGGAACCATCCACAGGGGTCAGCAGGAGCCTCGAGAATGGATGAGTGTGAGGCTTTGACAGGCAGCGAGACGGGGAAAGGGCTGAGCTAGAGCCGCAGCTACTGGGACTCAGTGGGTCGCTCTTGGAGCACCTGTGCTGCTTAGGAGGCTCTGGGGCGGGAGTCAGACACCCGAGAATTAGAAGAAGCAGATTGTGCGACTTCAAACCCGCGGGGCCACGCCTTTGGAGTCCTGGTAAAGCAGTGCTGTGCCCGCTGTCGGGACTTCCTCGCGTTATCAGCAGGTTGATGTGGGGGGGTTGCGTGTTCTGTTCATCAGCCCAGTCTGCCATAACAAGATTCCACAGACTGGGCGGCAGCAGAAATCTGTTCCTCGCGACCTAGAAGCAGCTGTTCCCAGATTAGGGTGTCGGTCAGTCGGGCGCTCGCTCGGAGGCCTCGCCTCGCTGGGCTGCACACAGGACCTGGCCACGCCCCACGGGCCTTTGGTGTCGCTTCCTCCTGTAAAGACACCAGGCGTGGTGGGCTGGGGCCCCTCTCCTCCCCGAAGGCCCTCCCAGGTGACAGCCCTGCCGAGGGCTAGGGCGTGAGCGTGCCTTTGGGGGCCAGCGCGTACTAGCAGTCTCACAGCGGGAGGTCCGGTGGACCCCCCCCCAACACGCATACAGCAGCTTACAGTTTTGTTTTTTGTTTTGTTTTTTGTTTTGTTTTGGTGAAGTGAGCAAAAGTGTGTCTGCTGCAGAGCAACAGTTGTGGAAAAAAAGCTTTTCTTGCTTTGAAAAGGGAATTCACAACTTTGAGTCAATTGAGGATGCAACAAACACTGCTCTCTTGTTGTGTAACACGGGAAGACTCATGCGGATCTGTGCCCAGGCTCACTGCGGGGCGGGGGACGAGTTCAAGCGCGAATTCTCCCCAGAGGAAGGCCTGTACTACAACAAGGTAACACGCTTGCTCACACCTGGCCTCATCCACTTACACCTAGTTGCCAGTTAAACTTCGCTGTTGTGTCAGTAAAATCTAAAGAAAAAGTAATTGCAGCTGCCCACAGCACAGCCTAGCCAGGGGATTTACTTAGACACTGACGTAGGGGTGCTGGTGAGGAAAACATGGTTACTTAGTAAATGGTTTTGATGTGATCAGGTAAAGGTTAAATGAATTAAAGACTGACGAGGAGAAGTAGTATTTGTAAAGGTATTTAGAAGAGGATTCGGGCATAAATTTATTCGGCTAGGAAAGGGCTTTCCCAGCCTAACGCAAGCAGAAATCCCAACGTAGAGCTGGGTCGTGTGTGAAGTGCAGTGTTGCCCTCAGCAGAGAGCGCAGTGGAAAAGGGCGAGTCCAGTATGCGCAGCAGGCTGGCGGCCAGTGAGCCTTGCACGGCAGGAGCATCACTCAGACGTTACGGCCCACCAAATACAGAAACGGAGTTTCTTTTATTTCTGGCACCGATGCACGCAGGTGCGGGAGGGGCCACGCCCGGGCTCCCTCCTAGTCGGCCTCGCCAGGACAGCGGCCTCGCCTTCGGGGACGCGGGCTCCGGCTGCGTGGTAGGGCGACTTGCTTTGCTTAAGGGTGAGGGCGGATTTAATTAAGCGTGGGTTACTTGTCGTCTTTTGTCATAAAGCCCAGCAAACTGTAGACCCTGTCAGGTTACTTTTCTTCTAGTTTACTAGGTAGGTGAACTGCAGCTTTATTTAAAATGAAAAAGGGAGAAGGCGGCCTCATGCGTCAGCCTGAGTCCGTGGGCCCAGGAGCGACTGACGGCTTGGAGCGGGGGTGTGGGCAGCTCGCAGCCCCTCTGTGTGACTTTGTGAAAATCTTTCATTGACTCAAGTTTCCCTTCTCACAATGCCCTTTTATACATCTTCCGAGATAAGCTGCCGCCTGCGGGTAGCTAACTGTGGGGTGGGGTGTGGAGCCGAGCCAAGTCGGAGTGGGTCTGGTTCTTTCTTCCTCTCAGGCTGTTGATTACTACTTGAAAGCGCTGAGGTCATTGGGAACACGCGACATACACCCAGTGGTGTGGGACTCGGTGAATTGGGAGCTGTCCACCACCTACTTCACTATGGCTACGCTGCAGCAGGATTATGCTCCGCTCTCTAGAAAAGCTCAGGAACAGGTAACAGTGATTGCTGGGTGAGAGGATGGTTTGCTCCTTTGTTAAGTCTGAACTACTTGTATTATCTTTTTTTTTTTTTTAAGATTTATCTATGCATACAGAACTGGGGTACAGGCCAGAGGTACAGGGGGTGAGAGGATTCACGAGAGACAGTGGGGAGCAGAACAGCAAATTGACAAAGCACACTGCTGAGGGGAGCAGTGGGCGGGTCAGGGGGGGTCTGCCGTGCCATGTGGGTCACTCCCTGACCAGAGATTGAACTCGTGCTGCAGGGGCTGTGATAGCTTCATAGTGCTGAGACTCACCCCTGCATCACCAGGGAGAGCCCCTGTATTGTCTTTCATTGGCCTGATTTAAATGTTTTAAAAATACTTACACAAGACTGTGGACTTATTCCTCCCCCTTGAAAACCAGATTGAGAAGGAGGTCAGCGAGGCCATGATGAAATCCCTGAAGCACTGTGATGTGGACGCGGTGTCGGCACGGCAGCCCCTCTGCCAGTACCGTGCCGCCACCATCCACCATCGGCTGGCCTCCATGTACCACAGCTGCCTGAGGAACCAGGTACAGTTCGGTTGAAGCGGGCACCAAGCCCATTTACCTGTGTTGTGGAACTTCGCTTGCACCTCAGGAGAGGCTGTGAGTTGGCTCCCAGAATCCCTCAGTGAAGATGGTCACAGGAATTGTCTGGTCTCCATAACTTGAAAAAGTTGCCTTTACCTGAGGCTCTTAAGTGTCCGATCGCACTCTGCCTTGACAGCATGACGCAGTGAAGAACGTTGCACTGCCGGGTGATGTGGAGCACGTCTGGCCTTCAGGAGCCACAGGGGGGCGAGGGGCCCCTTCCGGAAAGCGCCGTGTCTGCAAAGTGCAGCACAGCAAGGTGTACCCCGCAGGGTGAGCCCCTGGTCTGCACGCCACTTCAGGAAGATGGGCGGTGTGGGCACGTGCCCCTCACCTGTGCCAGGTTTCTCTCTGCTGTCCTGAATTGGGTCTGAGCTTGCAGAATCACTTGCTGGCCTGGCTGGGCAGGTTTGGTGGTGTCCTGCTCCCATCTTCTGCGTTCTTTTGTGGACGAGAGCAGGCCTGTGAGAGCCTGTAGAAGGTGTTCGGAAAGCCTACATTCAGTTTAAAGAATGACGAAAAGAAACCCCTGTGCCCATCACTGGAGGTTAAAGAATAGAAGAGCACCGAGACCCCTGAGCCCTGTAGGCACCCACCTACCTGCTGCCTGGGTGTCCTGGTGTGTCCATTCCTTTGTGTTCTGTCCCTGACTGTGTGTGCAGCTTGCCTGCTAGGGACTCCGTAAAGGCAGGGTCAGGAAAGTGGGCGTATTCTTCCATGGCTGTTGACGGCCTTTTGGGGGCCGCCTCCCTTCTGCTGTCGGTGCGGGCCTTACAGCGTCTTTGCAGCCCTTTGTAGGGCGGACTTTTTTTTCTTTGCCCCCTTCCTTCCTTGTTCGCCACTCACAAAACAGCCCACGTCGACCCTTGGCTGTGGGCTTAATCCTCTGAGAATGTTGACCTTCGAGGTCCTGCCTACTCTGGAGAGGTTTCCCCCTACTTTCAGCTGGCCTTGGCACTTACCCTTGTTTGCCACAGAATTCAGCTTTGCCAGGTGGCATTATATACCCTCTGGGGAGATGCAAGCTGAAGTGTTCATCAGGGAAGGGTGGGGTTTTAGCAAACAGTGCTGAGACAGCCTGGTGTCCAGATTCAAAAGACTGGAGTCACATGCCTCTGATACCACGCACAGACGTGAGTGGAAATGGATTAAATGTGCGAATGCAAGAGTGGGAACGGTAAGGCATACAGAAGGAGCAGGGGCCTGAAAAGCATTTGCTGGTGCAGTCAGACCTGACTAAGAAGTTACTTGGAGTCCCAAGCCTTGAGATTTGTCTCTTACTATATTTTTGGTTCTAGGTTGGTGATGAACACCTCAGGAAGCAGCACCGGCTGCTGGCAGATCTACATTACAGCAAAGCTGGGAAGCTTTTTCAGCTTCTGAAAGATGCTCCATGCGAACTTCTTAGAGTGCAGTTAGAGAGAGTAGCGTTCGCAGAGTTTCAGATGACCAGTAAGTCTTACTCTTCGTTTCTCAGGTTTGTGTGCAGGGGCTTAGAGTGAGGCAGACCTGTGGGTCTCTCCTGCCTGTAAGTAATGCCGTCTGCTTTGCGGTTTGCCCATTAAATGTCTTTGGGTAGAGCCAGAAGTCTCTGTGATTTCAAAGTGCATTTTGAAGTTGAGAGAAATACCTTCGTTTATCTTCAGTAACGAGGTGCACTGGGATGATCTCTGAGCCTTTTAACCTGTGGCACATAAGATGAGACAGAGCTGGTCCTCATGCACACTTCGGGAAGCCGACCAACCCCAATGAATTCCTTTGGCACAGGGCTGAAGCTGGCAGCTTTGGGTTCTGTTTCCAGACCAGGTGAAGAGAAGTTGGGAGGATGTTTTTCTAATTGCTAGTCGCCTGGCTCCCCTTCTACTGACGGAGAGTTGAGAAAAGCTCTTGTGTGGTAAAGAAAACAGATACCATAATTTGAACTAGGTAGTTTGGTTTCATTTCAGTTGTTTTCATCTACAAAATTAAATATTTAACTTGTACATGACTGTCCAGTGTCCCTGGAAGGATGTGTAGGACGTGGTGCCTGACCAGTTCTGGGAGGTTACACATTCTAATTTAGTGTGTGTTATCTATTCACAACAATTTCTAGAAGTGTTTTTTTGTTTGTTTTTTTGTGTGAGTGTCTTGTTGACTTTTGACAGTCTGTCACCTCGCTGAGTGAATGGGGCAGTGACCAGAATTGATAGCTGTTTCTGGGGGTAGATTGGGGGTGGTCTGTTTTCACTTACGTCTTTGTTTAAATTCCTGTGAATGAGCAAGCATCATTTTCATAGAAAATAATTGATACAGAATTGCTAAGATGACAGTGCCATTTTTTTCTATTCAAAAATATTTTCAGTACCTTAGAAAAATACTGTAAATGGTTCTTCTAAGGGGCCTCTGCTAACCAGGTTCATAGATGCTCTAGTTTCTAACACCTTCTGTTGTGTCTCATTACACCTGGTATTTTTTTCTCTGGTACATGGAGCTCAGATTTAGCTTCCTGGCCTTGGCTGTCTGCCCCTGCACCCAGTAGCTTGCCTTCCAGGCGCCGAGGCCTACATTGACACCACAATCATCTGTTGGTTTTTTCGTATACTATCCAGATTATGCCCTAAAGGAGAAGAAAACAGCAGTCCTTCCCCAGTCTCAGTCCCCCAACCGCTCCCACGTCTTTATCAGCAGGTTGGGAGTGAGATTCCATGGTCACGGCCACTGTCCACAGCAGAGAAGGGCCATGGTGACAATCGTCCACAGGAGGGGGGCGCACAGGACAGAGGCCGGGGGATGCCTGGCAACTTAACCCAGAGAAGCTTCCCGTGGTCCTGCAGGGCTCACAGAGCATCACCTATGGGAAGCTCACTCAGACCTGTGTTTTTACCAGGGCTCCAGTGGACAGAGTTAACTGCCTCATGACTGACTTGTCAAGGTCCTGGGGCCCCTGCCCGTCAAATAGGACAGCATTAGGCTGTGACCAGGGCCTCTCAGGCCAGCGGAGAGGCTCTTACCATAAGGGACAGAGGATCACAGAGCTAACCCAGGCCAAAGCCAGATTTGTCTGGAGAATGTTCTCCTCCTACAGTGCCCAGTCACAAGCAGCTGCTCCCGGAGCAGGCGCACGGGGCTGTGGTCTCTAAAGGCGTGGACGAGTATCCAGAGGCCCTTGAATAGTGACTTGCTGAGTTTGCACAGTAACAGAATGTGTTTATTTTGCAGGTAGGACCAGCGCTCAGAGCCCTGAGGTGGCCATGGCTGTGTAGCTGGCCCATAGTTCCCTTTGACTCACCTTTAGGATATTGGCTCTTCCTCCAAATTGGGCTGAGCTCTCCCCCAGCAGAGTGAAACAGTGAGGCAGGAAATCATCTCACCTTAGCAACCTGTGTAGACATAATACCCTTCTTTGGGGAAAATTGCTAAGCATGAAGAGAAGGTGTGTTAGTATTCTCATGAGCTGCCTGTGTAGCCCTTGAAAATCAGAGTTTTCATTAATATCTGATACTGAATGGACTCTAGATCTGTTTTTAAAGGAAGAATCGCTTTGTGTTTACTATTCTAGGCCAGAATAGCAATGTTGGAAAATTAAAGACACTGTCCGGGGCTCTTGACATAATGGTGAGAACCAAGCAAGCATTCCAGCTCCTGCGGAAGGAGCTTGTAGAAGAATTTGACCAGGTAAACAGAAAAGATGCCCAGCGTTGTTTCCCACGTGCATTAAGCTAAGCGGTGACTGCGTGCAGGGGTGTTCGCAGGTGTGTGCATGTTGTGTGCGCGGCATGTATACCGCTACCTAGACACTTCGGCAGGACTCCTGTCCTCGGTGGGAGCAGCAAGCTGTTTAAAGCAGCTTGCACATGTCACCTGTCATGTGTGCTGCGGTGAGGCCCAGGCCCTCGCCAGCGGGCCCGGCGGTCCACAAAGCTGTACTCTTGTTGGCAAGTGAAGGCTGCGCCGACTTCTCAGCGCCCTGAACTGCCAGGAGCCGTTCAAGAGTGGGTGGGCTTGAGCCTGCGGCTTGCGCTCCTTGAGGGTCTCTCGGTTGCCAGGCAGCCTGTGTTCCAGCTGCCGCTAGAAGCTTCTCGGTGTCACCACGGAGCAGCAGCCCGGTGCCTTCTACCCTTAACCTTGGTGCGTCAACCCATGCAGGGCACGTTGCCATCTTGCTCTTTAGTATCTGATGCCAGAAAGTCAGGGTTTGTTTTTTGGAGGGATTAATTTCTGTTCTGACTGTGCCTATGAGGTCTGAAGCCTTTTGTTAGCGTGTTTTAGTCCAAATGACTTCAGGGGAAGTGGACGAGGAAAAGGCCAAGGCCTACTGCAGCCTCTCCCAAGCTGTCCCTGGGGGGAAAATGCTTAGCTTTGCTTTTGTTTTTGGCTAAAAAAGTTTCTTGATGAGTGAACCGTGGTTTCTTCACTTCAGAGTGAAGCTGTAGCTGTCAGTGGCTGAGGTGAGGTAACCTTGTGTTGTTTTCAGCGCAACAGTGATGAGACCTCTCCAGCTGCCGAGTCTTCTCCGAGCCTTAACCGGGAAGAGGTGATAAAGCTCCTCAGTATATTTGAGTCTCGGCTGTCATTCCTCCTCCTCCAGTCCATCAAACTGCTGTCTGCAGCCAAAAAGAAAACAAGGTAAATTCTGGTATTTGTGGGTGTCTCTTGCCCTGCGCCTTTCCCACAGAAGCCCACAGCCCATGTCCGCCAGCCTGTGCCCGGCTGGTGCAATGAAGCTGAGAATCCCCTGCTTAGCTTCCGGGTTGGTCGCTCGCCCTGTGACCCCAGTTCTCTGATGAATTCAGCCAGCCACGAACTTGTCATTGGTCCTGCTTCTGTTCGGAGAGTGGGAGACGTCCCAGCTGGCACACCCCGAGGGCGCCCTGCAGAGCCGCTGCTTTGGAATCGGCCGCGGGCCCTGCAGCCGCGCGGGGAATGCGCGGCAGTGCAGCCCCAGCAGGGGAGCTGGTGCGGGCGGCACAGTGAAAGCATCCAGCTCTTGCCGCTGCCTTTTCATGGCAGTGAGCACGTTGTACTTTTTTAATTTTGTTGGTTTCCACAAGGTGGCAATGAAGGATAAGATACGCGAGCAATGAGACTTGTGTTTCACAGTTGAATCACTAACAGGTATAGTTCAGTCTTCGGATACTTTACAGACGTGTCAGTCTGTGTGTCTGCCCTAAGTGACTTCTTTTACTCAAAGATCCTTTGACTTATTTATTCAGGTTAGTATTCTGTAATACACTTTATAAAAGTTCTTGTTTTTGGTGATTTATTTTAAAATAACTTGTGTTCATTTTTTAAAGCTGGTTTTTTAGAAAGACTTAAGTGCTATTGAGGTACAGCCTGATGTGACACTGTGCCAGTACAGTTAGCATGTTGGCAGGCTGCGAACCCCAGAGAAGTTTCCGGTCACTCAGTGGTGCTGGTCTTTCCTCTGAGTGCAGAGAGAACAGCGTCTCGCTGACCTGTGGTGAGGAGCTGGCGCTGCCCGGCTGCTGTGCCACCAGGAAGAGCATTCTCCCTGGAGAAAAAGGAAATGGAGACTATACAAAGGATATTGTCTCACTGTACGATCTTCATTTCCTCATCACCCCCCCAGAAAAAAAGAATCAATCAAGCTTAATAATCAGAATCTTTATTGTCTATGAGAGCTGAAGAATCACAGTGGAATCCAAGAAAATTAAGATGGCGCTTATTTTTTTTAAAGACTTGTTTATTTCTGCATACAGAACTGGGGTACAGGCCAGAGGTGCAGGGGTGGTGGGAGGATTCGCCAGAGACAGTGGGGAGCAGAACAGGCAGTCTCTACTGCTGAGGGAGCAGCAGGGAGACGGGAGAGGTCTGCCGGGCCCTGGGGGTCCCTCCCTGGCCGGGGATTGAACGCGTGCCTAGCGGCTGTGCCAGCTTTGTGGTGCTTGTGGATGCACTTACTTTGCAGTGAGCTTTCCCTTTTTGCCATGAGCAGGCGTGTCCTTGCCTGCCGGAGCCCAGTGCTGCCTGTCGGGCCTCACTTTGCTTTCTGGGCTCCACTCTTATGCTGGCTGTGATACTCATGGCTTTGGCAGATTGGAGCCTTTGGCCTTTTGATTATATTGGGGTTTAATACAGTGGAAAGTAGAGGGAACCTCTGAGGTTGGGCAGCGCTCTGCCATGGCACAAAGAGCCCTCAGAGCTGTGGGCTGTCCCTGCCAGGCCTGTTTGTTTACTGTCTGGCGAAGGTTAGTAAAAAGGCAAATGGAAGAATGTAGCGGCCTTCCTTTGGGAAAAAAGCTAACCCTGCGAGCCGATGGCCCCCACTGAGTAGTTCGTGGTTCAGGCCACAAATTGTGGGAACGATTTGCAAGATTGGAGATAGAGACTGATGATGCAGGATGAGGTCTGGAACAAATCTAAGGGGTGATGGTGGCAGTCCCAGCAGCAACCCGTTGTCTTCAGGCGGGCAGCTAGGGTGACGCGGGGCACATCCCGGGAGCAGTTCCTGTTCAGATGCCACCTTAGCTGCTAACTGTTGTCGCCTCGTCACTGTCAGTTGGTTTCAATGGACACATCTTAGCATACGTCTGGACGCATCTCTGAGCTGGCGGTGACATCGCTGTTCACACCACCTGGCTTTCTTTTTTAACCCAGCAGCAACATCGACGAGGATGTCGTCCTCAGAACCAACAAGCAGATTTACTCCCAGCTTCTGCGAGCAACAGCTAACAGGAACACCGCTCTGCCGGAGAGGATCGACGTCCTCGTGCGTCTGCTGGACCTTCTGGCCCTCGGCACCGCCGGGCAGTGACGGGTGGCCGCAGCAGGGACGCTGTCGGTGCCTTCCGCGCTCAGGACTGCTGTGTCCGTCGGTGCTTCGTGTTATTAAACGTGAGAGGTGTGTCCACTACGCAGGCGCGGCAGTGGGAGCGCAGCCCGTTCTCCTGTGACAGACCAGGGCGGAGCTCTCCGGGCGCTCACTCGAAGTGCTAACATCAGAGCCAGCAGAGCGCCCAGCATGGTGTCTGGCGGGAGCACGCGGTGCCCGTGTGCGTAGCCTGCAGCGCCGCTGTCGCGTGGTTTTGATAAGCTGAGCTACCCGGGTTTGAGACAGCTGCCTGTATAAATGTTACTTTGGTCTGCCGCATGGCCTGCTGGTTCACACGGGTTCAGGAAGCTTCTTGTGCATCCACCTGGCTCCTCCTGGCTCGCACAGACCCGCTGTCCTTCTGCGCTTGGGACAGGAGCCCCCGAGCGGCCGTGTGGCCTGACTGTACACAGTGGGTCAGGAATAGGTACTCTCCCCCCTCCTTTTCATTTTAAACTTGAAACTGTGAATAAGGCAAGAAAACTATTTTGAATAAATAAATTATTTATTTAAGAGGTCTTTGTGTGTTTCAGTTTTGGTCTGAGCTGATATAATAAACTTCACACAATAAAAATCAAGACAAAGTGCAGCTCTGCTGCTGAGTTCTACAAGCCGGGATCCTCCATCGCTGCTGCCGTGACGCGGCTCGTGTCAGGCTGCTCTCCGACGCAGCTCCCACCTCTGTCTGCTCAGAGGTCGTCGTGTCCGGCCCGGTCAGCGCGCTCAGGGTCCTGCATGCTTCTGCGGGCCGACCTGGCCAGCATGGGAACCGCCGCTGCTCGCCGCTCTGTCCCCTCGAGGCTGGCGCCCGCTCACAGCCCCACCCTGGGGCGGGTGCCCCGGACTGGACGTCGTCTGGGGAAGCGTGCTTCCCGAGTGTGTCTGCTGTGCCACAGCCGCCACTGCGTGGCAGGTCACCTCTTGCCAGTTGTCTGAGTCACTTGCATTATCGAGGGACAGAGTCGCCTCGGTTTTCAGAAATGAATCATGGAAGCTTACAAGTTGCGTCCAAGTTGTAAGTTGCAGAGTCCCTGGTGTCCTCTCAGGGCAGCTCCCGCTGCTGCCCGCGGGCGTGGGGCTGGCTCCGCACTCGAGATTAGGCCGACGTGTGCCGACCAGCTTGGGGTCTGGGTCGCCACGGCAGAGGGGTCGGCCTCTGGTCGAAGCGGCCAGAGTCTGCAGAGCTGGTCCGGCGGCCTCGTGCTGCTGGCGGTTTTCAGGCGAGGGCAGGTTGGTTGTGAAGTGAGAAGACAAACTCCAGCTGTCTTCCTTTGTCAAAGCGATGCTATGGGAGATCCTGCGCGGGAGGAAAAGGTCTTGAGAAGGCGTCATTTGCTGACCAAAGTTGCTTCGTTTTCGTTGTTCCTTGAGAAGAGCCATGTGGGTGGCCTGGCCATCCAGACAACAACCCAGTTCAGGCTCGTGCCGCCCGATCCTGTCCATGTCATCACGCGAGACGTCGGGCTCTGCAGAGGAAGCCTGGCCCCTGCTCTGAAAGCCGAAGGGCCGCACGTCCGAGGGAAGGCTGGTGGTGGAAGATGAACGCGAGCCTCGGGGGTCTCACTGGTCCTCCACGAATACGAAACGTTTCCTGCCGTGAAGGGGAGGGGGGCGCTGGGAACTGTCCTGCTCGGAGCCCTGGCGCAGGTCCGGGTGCTGGGACCCGAGCTGAGAGGAGGGAGGCCCCGGGCTGCGGTGAGGGCAGGCTCGAGACCCCGCCAAGCCCGACTTGGGGCCGGACGGTGGGTGGACTACAAGTATGGGCAGTGTGTCCTTAGCTGGCAGCCTCAGCATGGGCTGCCTGTGGGAGTTGCGCAGTCGGGCGCTGGAAGGTAGAGCTCCTGGGCCCTGCTGGGCGGCGGCCACCCAGGACAGTGCTGGGCGGCGGCCACCCAGGTCAGTGCTGGCCGTGGCCAGAGGGCGCGCAGCGAGCGGTTCCTCGGGAGGCCCCGGCGCCTTGCCCGGGCGCTCCGTGAGTCTGCTGAACGGCTGCTTTTGGCTGAAGTATCTGTAAAGCGAATGCCTCAGTCCCGCAGGCGCTGCTCGTGCGTTCGCCGGGGGCGGCCCTCCGACTCCTTGCCCGCTTCTCGGGTCACACGCTCAAGGCGGAGGCGTGGACGTCGCACACGTCAGACCAGGCCTCGGAGATAGGCCGCTGGGGGAGCAAGCCGTTGGCGGGCAGCCGGGCGCCGTGCCGCTTGTCCCTGTCGCTCACCACTCTCCAGTAGGCGTTGCCTTTGAAGAGGAAGAGGGACTTGTGTGCGTACGAGTAGTACGCGGCGTCGATGCTCCTGAAGGGGTGGTTTCCTGGCTCTATGCCCGGGAAAACCTCGGTCATCTTCTTGGGATAAGAACCGAGCACTTGATTCCTGTCGACGTCAAACGCAAACACCTGCGGGCAGAGGCGGCGTGAGGCGGGCCTCGCTGCGGGCCGCCCCCACGCGGGGCCAGCCAGCGGGGCGCCACACTGTTCCCTGGCGGGGGGACCCATGTGCCGCGTGGGCTGCAGAGCCGGGGACGCTTTCCGGGAGGGCCACGGGGCCTGGGCAGGCAGGGGACGGCGGGCGGGGCGCCGCTACTCACAGAGGCCTCCTTGAAGAAGTAGACGAGCCGCTTCCTGCGGTCATAGAAGGCCGTGTCCAGGGGGCTGGGGATGCCGGGGAAGCCTTCCGAGATGGGCCTCGGGTAGCGTCGGCCTTGCTCGTCCTCCGTGTGGGCTTGGTCCTGGTCACTGTCGTACCTCCAGTAGTGATGTCCTGAGAGCCCAACCCGAACCGCAGAGGCGTCACTCACCGACCGCAGGAGTGGGCAGGACGCTTGTCGGGAGGGGCCTGCTGACCGCCGCCTGCCCCGCGCCCGGGGTGAACGGGAGGGGCCGGCTGAGGCCACCCCGCAAGTGAGGGTGTGTTTCCCAGGGCCCGGTCCCCTGGGAGGTGGCTGCTGCCGTGGCACTGCTCGGGGCGGGCACGAGGCTGGCGCAGCAGCGCGGGGGTCCTCGTCCCTCCTCACACTCTCAGGGTGCCCCTGGCTGCCGGGTGCAGCGCTTCCCCTGAACCGTCACTGTGCCTCACTACAACTCCACTTTTGCAGGGGAAAAAGTGCCCCTTACTCTACCCCGTGCCGGGCATCGAGAAGCATCTTGTTCGCCTGCGCCACCGTGTTACAAGAACACAAGGACAGCTGCCGCGACTCGGCCAAGTCCAGACGGCCCGGTCTAGCCCGACTGAGCCTCGGGTCCAGAGCGCCCAGCGACCCGCGTCCTGGCAGATGGCGCCTGGCAGTGCTGCTCGGCTCGGCCGCTGCCGTCCTCGCCCCCTTCGGGCCCTGCCCGGCCCACTCCCGCGTGTCGGCTGCCGTGGCACAGGGCGCGGAACCGCTCGGACCGGGCGGTGGTGCCGCGCAGCGCCTCTCGGGCAGTGGCATCCCGAGAAGCCCGACGTCCAGTGTGTTCACAAAGGCCCACGGGGGCGGGCCGGTCCCTCAGGCTGCCCGTGACTGCTGGGGTGACTAGGACGTGCGTGTGAACAGCACGTTCCGTTCAAGGAGCTTTTCTAACTCTACGACCCTGCAGGGCTGCGACCCGGTGGCCCCACTCAGCAGTGGTGTCTGCCCCAGCGTCAGTCCCAGCTGGGCACCTCTGAGATGTGCGGCCAGCCCAGAGGTCAGAACTGGGGAGTCCACCTGGAGGCCGCTGCGCAGGTTTCTGAGCTAACGCCCTCCTCGTACGTGGGAAGGAAAACTGGGACCAAATTTACAACGGGATTCCCAGGGTGAAACTGCCCGTGGATTTCCTCCAGGGGCTCTTGCCTCATCAACTGCAATACGAAGCCTCATGGCTGTGTCGCCGGGGTCCGGCGTCCCCGAAGAGGCGAGGGGGGAGAGCCCCCAGCAGGTACGAGTCGCCTTGGCAGCTAAGCGCGGGTGTGTGGTTTGCAGAGATGCCGGCCGGGCCCGGGGGCTCCGAGCAAGGCGCTGGGTATGCGGGACAGCGGCTGCGGAGACCAGCAGGCCTCCGCCTCCTGACCAGCCCTCGCCTCCCTGCCAGCAGGGCCCAGCCCTGCGGGGAGCCTGGCTCGGCGCTCATGGCTCGCAGGCCCGGGGCCGTCTCACTAGCGGACTGACCAGCCTGACTAGCGACACTGTGGCCACTCGCCTCCGCCTCGGCCCCAAGGCGCTGCAGCTGCTTCCTGCCCCCTCGCCCCCTTCCCGGGTCCCTTCCTGGACACTCCAGGGACTACCCCTCCTGCGTGGTCCCAGCGTGGGGTCCCAGGTGGCTCTCGCCGCCCGTCTCATTCTCCTTCACAGCAGACAATGTGTGAAAACATTCAGAAAGACGCGCACGCCCACCCCCACGGCACTGCCACGTGGAGGCAAACCGGGCGCCAGCGGGGGCTGAGCGGGCCAAGGTGCGTGGCCGCTGTGCAGTGGGTACTACCCGGCCGTTTAAAGGATGGGGCCCTCCGTCAGCAGCGTGGCTAGAAGGGGGCGTGAGTCAGAGGAGCGCTGTGCCAGGCAATTCACTCGGTGGAATTCAAAGGGGAAAAAGCAAATGAACAAATCACCCCTGGACTCGACCCCAGAATGGCGATACCAAGGGGCGGGAGGGTGGTGGGGGTGATTGGGTGATGGGCGAGGTCCGGGCCTGCAACTGCCGAGGGAGAAACCGCCCCGAAGCCGGCAGTGCGGGGAGTCGGGTCGCCCCGGGCAGAGGACGAGGCCGTTCCCCGGGCGG